GCTTCCCGGAACGAATCTGGCTGCCCGTTCCGAAGCGACCCGCTTCGCCCAGCACCTTGGGCCGCTCGCAAAGTAGCCGGCCAGCTTCAGCCTCGTGCGTCGCGCGGGCTACAGAGCCTGTTCCGTCGGCAGCTGGAGGCACCCTGCAGACGGGAGACTTCTAATGCCTAGAGTGCTTACAAGCGGGTCTGGTCACAAAAGTCAAGATGGCGGACACGACGGTACGACCGGAGCGCCGTCGCGGCCGCCATCTTGATTTTTTTGACCAGACCCTCCGGACCCACCTACTTACAAGCAAACGGAGTCCCTGGCTTTTTGGAAAGGACTGCTTCCTGATTACACGCATTGTCCTTAGTGAGCTCATCCTCCATTAGGCATTTAGCGGGCATCTCCTCAAAGTAACATTCAGGCCTCCCAGCCCTCACCCCCGTGTCCAAAGGAACACTTAAACCTCATCACTTGAGAAAATAGAGCACGTCGATGTCTACTGCCAAGTGTTTACAAGGCTGTGGGAATCAGAAAGGCAAGTGCTGGAAACTTCCTTTGTCTGTGACAGACGGATTTGAAAAACTGCAGGGAAGGGGAAATATCGCTCCGCCTCCATCTCTTGGTGGGGCCGTTAAACCTTAGTCCTAAGACTCAAAGACATTTGTTTTTCCCAGGTACAGTGCAGGCCAAGGCTGAGTTCACACAGCACCCTCTACTAATTGTGGTTGGCTAGTTTATGCTCCAGTGCCTTGTGTGAAGCTGGATAGGTGGATTCTGTTATGGTTCAGTGTTTTTTGCAGGCCTGGGCAATTGGGTTAAATCAGTAAACAAGGAATTAGTGTGTTGAATGCAACCATGAGGGCTACCAAGACAGTGATCCAGCTGCTTTGTTACAAAATTCCATGCTCCTTCCACTATTATGATGGCTCTTCCCCACCCAGTTATACATCCCGGATGTTCCATACACAAACTGTTGAAAATGAGATTTTTATACCAATTGTTGTCCCTTGCTAAAAAAAAAGCTTAAGAAAACTGGGTTCATTTAAGTTCTTTACAAAAAGCTACTTCACCAACCCAATCAACCCAACTAAAAATCCTGCATAGGTCTGTAAAAATTTTAAAAGATAGTATTTTAAAGTGACATCCTTCTTAAGACTGCAGTAGTATATACACTTCATGAACATCCTGGCTTGTTATTTCTAACTGAATGCAGATAGATACATTTTGAGAACAATCCCATTCATTGGACAGTAAGTCACACTCCTATGCATCATTACTCAGAAACAGTTTCTCCCTGGTCGGTTGGTTAGTTCCTAGAAAAGCATCCTTTTGAAGAAGAAAAGTCCTAGCCTTGAACTCTTCTCACTTGGCAGAAAATGCTACAGAAAGGTGTAGGACTTCTTCCAATTTTCTTGAAGTAATTTTGGCTCCCGCTCGGGCACTCAAGTTAACTAGGTTACCAAGAGACTAAAAACAACCATACCTACCTACCAGTAAACAAACTGATATAGATGAATATCAAATAAACTGTCTATTATAGGTTTAGGACTGGCCTATGCGGGGGTTCTTCTTTCAAATATTCACTTCTTTTCTCTGACTTTGTCTACCCATCAAAGCAGCCAGTCTGATACAAAAACAAAGAAAATAGCCCAAATGTACAGATTTGGAGAAGCCTCTGCTGTTAAGCAGCTTACTTGGTTCTGTGTTTTGTCCACACCTTTATCTGGAAGGAAATCGTACTGCAATCAGGGAGGCTTACTTCCAGGTAAGCCTATGAAAGCAGTTAGGGCTGCTTCTTCCTTTCACATTTAAAGAAGCTGGGCTGATTGATGGCTTGAGAATGTGTTACATCACGTTGGCATGTAACCTGTTTGGATGGGCATATAAAAGGAAAGCAACAGTAAGGCCTTAAAATTAGAACCACCTTTTTTACCTACCAATTTCCTCCCCCCTCAAAAAAGTATGTTGCCCTCTAGATGCAGACTAATTTTCATTGGCACTCAGCACAGCCACCCTCCACTGGCAACAGACGGAAAAGGATTGGCTCGGAGGTTTTATTTACTCTGATCGGAGGGGAAATGCCTTCTTTAAAGAAATAAATAAATACATCTGAAGTGAAGGGTGAAGGCAAAGGGGCTGGAAAGTTCTACTCAAAAATTGAAGCGGGAGGGGGGGGGGGGGAGTCAAGCAAAGGAGGAAGAGAGGTGAAACAAAATAAGGCCAGCTCCTAAACTGACTCTAAATTTTTCAACTAAAATTCCTTCCCAAAGAGGCAGGATCCTTTGGAAAGCAATGACCAAAGATTAGCTTGTTGACAGTTGTAAATTACAGCTTGAAGAGCTTTCCTGTAGTTCTGGGTTTCCCCCTTTGCAGAATCCTTCCCCCCTCCCAAGGTTTCATTCAAAAGAAACATCCTTGGAAGAGCCCAGAGCATGGATGACATGTTGGCAGCATCCCATTGGGAATACACACACACTCTCTTCCCTCAATCTCCCCCACCCCCAACATTTTAAACTTCCCATTTCTCCTGTTCCATCTTATTTAGCAATGTATTGGGGATGCAGAAACAGATTTATTCAGAAAAACAAACTCTTTTTAGGCAGCTATTCTGGCAAGTCCTATTGAACTCAATGAAACTAAAGTTTGAATAGACATCTAAGGAACATGTAGAGGCCAATATAGTTTTCTTTGATAATGCCAATAGTGGTCTCTGTGTTTTCCCCTACTTTTATCTGCAATTAACTCTATTTGATTAACCTAGACCGTATACCTGACAGCACAAGATACATACCTCTATATGCACAGTCATGCTGACACACACACACACACAGCACACATGCAGAGTATTTCTGTTTATCTATTTAAAATATACCTAGTAGCTTAATAATCAGTTGATAAGGTACCAAAGATAACACGCTATTTACCTCTGGACTATGGCAGACTTTTGATCCGTATCAGCTAACCAAAGTTTTCTATTGACTTCAACAGGAGATGAATTGAATCTCCTGTCTCTGCCAAGCAAACTATATCAATTCAGATTTGTCTCCTGAATACCTCCAGGTTCACAGGTTAACTTAATATAAACAATGTTTCATCTCTGAACCCTAAGTACACTTAGTGGAGGGAAGTCATATTTTCTCAGAAGGAAGGTCTACTGAACTCAAGGGAGTTACGGCTGCCATTTAGTTCATGTGGAAATAAATCCCGTGGAAATGTAGTAGAACTTACTTCTAAGTAAACAAGTGTAGAATTACACTGTTAATTTCGCAGAAAAGGATTTGCAAACATACTGAATGATAAGTTGGATTTATGCATTAACTTCAACAGGTGCAGATACCGATTTCAGTGTTGGTATCTGCACCTGTTACCCCAAAACACAAGCCCTACTGATTGCCCTGAAACTTCTTTCTAAAACTATGTTCTTTTCTGTAGGAAATAAATTGCTTTGAAATCACGGGAACTTTTCTAAGCAAACATAAGTAGGCCTCGGTTGTGCAAAAACAATGTAGAATGTGAGTGTAATGTACTTCAGTAGGTATTTGCAAATGTTTGGGTCTATTTGTCAGGCAGAGTGCCTAATCACAAGGATAAGACAAATTAGATGGCAACTCTACATTTACTCTTCCTGGGAATAAATCCTACTCAACTTAACTTCCTGATGAAGTGATCCACAAAAGCTTATACAGTAATAAACATGTTAGTTTTGGAAGGTGCCACAAGACTCTTTCCTGTCCTTTCTGCATAAACACTATAGAATTGCATTACTGGTTTCACCAAAATCCTCACACCAAATTCCATGTTAACTGAAGCCTTGGGAGGTGTCTCTGGGAAGATGAGATTAAAAATCACAGTATGGTTATTGGAAAATGGTTGTCCAGTCTAATTAATCCGGTATATTAGACTGGAGTAAGATGAACTTGACAAGCTTGTGATTCAGTATTTCATGGGAACCAGATTGTCAGGTTAAGGACAATTTATTTGATCCAGGCATGTTATGTGAACATAGCAATGATGTTTGTTTAACCCTGATTTGGGATTTTGCCACTAATTTTCATTGGATTCCAAGAGACATATTATGGAGGGAAGACACTTATTTGGAAAGAACCTTTTACGCTATATATGGGGATTTAATGTGGAGAGAGCTAGTTTGGTGTAGTGATTAAGGCACTAGGCTAGAAACTGGGAGACAGTAAATTCTAGTCCCTCCTTAGGCACAAAGCGAGCTGGGCGATCTTGGACCAATCACACTCCTTCAGTTCTAAGAAGACCACTGTGGCACACCACTTCCAAAAATCTTGCCAAGAAAACTGCAAGGACTACACCAGGAGCTGACACTTAATTTTTCCTTAATTTTTGAATGCTGCCCAGAGTCACTGTTGTGAGATGGATGGCCATATAAATTATTTAAATTTGAAGGCACCAAAAAAAAATAATAATCAAAGAACTCTGCTGCACATCTCACTGATGTGAGTGGAAGAGTCCAGCAGTCACATACAGCTTATTTCTCTCCACCATACTTCAGGCACACCAGTCAAAACTAAGCAAACTTTCATGGCCTTTAGCGTACATCTACTGTGATTACAACTACTTAGAAATAGCTTCATCCTATTTATTTGTTCTGAAGTTAAAGCTTGGAGAGCAATGGAGTTTGCTCTGAACCTGTGGCTTTTCCCTCCTTTGATGGAGAAGTCTCAGGTCCTGTTTCCACCTCTAATTCCAGGCATTTGATAAATCAGACTGTGAATAATGAAAGCTTATGACACAATGAAATGCGTTAGTCTCTAAGGAGTCCCAAGGCTCTTTGTACCGTGAAGAGGGCGGTCGCTTTGCAGCCCCAGCCACGGGATCCCACCCTTCCTTGGGATCCATCCTTTGGTGCTCCTGCAGAAAACTCGTTTCTCTGCAAGAAGCTAAATACGGTACCATGCAGTGAAGGGTTAGGCTGGGCCTGGAGAGACAGAAGGTACGAAAGGAGCACAGCTTCCCTTCCCATCAACCCAGCTCCTCCCGGGGGGGCCCAAGAGTACCTGCCATCTGGAGCGGCCTGGCCGGGTGCAGGGGGCTGAGGGGGTCCCCGGTACCGAGGCTGGCTCTTTCCACCACGTCGTGGTCTGCCCGGCAAAACAGGCCGTCCTCTCGCAGCGCGAACTCGTCCCCTGGAATGAGCTGGCGGCTGCAGGCCACGCAGCGAAAGCACTCGATGTGGTACACTTTGGAGCGGGCGCGCATCACGAAGTCGTTCTTGCTGAAGCCGATGTTGCACTTGGCGCACTTGATGCCGTATAACCTGAGACCGGACCCCGCCGGGGAAAGGCAAGAAAAAAGAGGAGGGAAGAAGAACGAGGAGGAGGAGGAGAAAGAGAGAAGGGGAAAAAAAAAAAAAGATTTCACTTCGGGGCCCTGTTCGAATCAAGTCCTTTTTCGACCCGACCCGCTTTCTAACGCAGACCGCGCGTTTTTACGCGCCAGCCCAGAATAACCTTTTCCACTGAATCGGTCTAGCTGGCGCTCTCACCCGCTTAAATGGGGGGGACGGTGTCAGGTGAAGAACCCAAGCAGATTTGGAGCTGCTGTATTCGATGCTTTGGAAAAGAATCGCGGGCACCGGTGCACTGCCCAAAGGAAAGGAAAGGAAAGGAAAGGAAAGGAAAGGAAAGGAAAGGAAAGGAAAGGAAGATTGGGGGAGGGGTGCATTTTTAATTTTAAAAATATTTTGGTTTTTATTTGTTTTTGTGTGTGTGACTTTCTCCGTCTGCCTTGTAGCCAACAGTGGAGAACTGTTTTCCGCGAAGGTGCCAAAGCAATCTTTAAAAGCACAGTTGCCGGCTGGCTCGAATGGCAGAGAATGACAAGGAAGGGAGTCACCTACTGTTAACTCTGGACCAATTAAAACGAGGGAGATTAAAGATTGTAGTGTAGAGTCCTTTTTGGAAGGAAAAAACAACCACCCTTCATGCTTTAAACACACGCACGCACGCACGCAGTGGTTCAATCCGGGACCACTTCAATGCCAAACTCGGCTGAGCCTCATAGGCTCTTCTCGCTTGTAAGGATGTGCAGTAACCATATGCCTTTGCTTGCCAGCCTCGCCAAGATCCCCGAAAGGAGTCCAAGATCCCAAGAAATGTTCCTCTTATAGAGTGGGCCAGAAACAGGATTTTGGAGGCACATTTGGTGCCAGCACGTGTTCTGTTTTGGAGACTGAAGCTCAAAGGGCTAAAAACTGGCCTGAAGATGGTGATTAGTAAGAAAAGCTAGGGTTGAACTTCTCAAGTTTGTTTGATTTGTTGCTCATGGAAATCCTGAACTGAAGTCCATTGGTTAATTTGTAGATGGTGGCCGGTGGGGCTTCTTAGTTCTGCATTCGCAAAAGTAAGAGGCCAAGCCTACCTTTTCGCCCAATGCTGAGGCTTGCTTACTCAAGTGTAAGTCAAGTTCACAAGGGCGCCCTCCTAATTCGGGTTCTTTCGCAGAGAGAGAGATAGAGAGAGGCGCGGCCGCGAAAAAAACGGCGGTCTTGTTTTTACCCTCCCGACTCGACTCCCTTGTAAGTGCAAGGAATAATTTGAGTTAGCTCAGCCTTCTCTACCTCGGACTGTAAAGCTACCCTTTCGAAAGCAGGGGGAAATCCATACACCGAATCTTTCAGGCTTTCCTCCAAGACAGATCCGAAGCCTTTCCGGAGCAGAATCCCAGCTGCATGTAAGGGAACAGGCCAGCAACTTCTGGAGCAGAACTCAACCGAGGGGCGAAAGGAGGGCCGAGCCTGGGGTGGTTTGAAAAAGCAGATGGACAGCCTTGTCCTCGTTGTATCATCCTCTGGCTTCGCTGCGTTGCTCAGCAGTGAGCATACTTTCTTTATAGATCCAGGGCATATATATGAGACATATCTCCAAACACATGTTATCTCTGTGCAACCTCTCTTCTTAAAAATAAACCCGGAGGAGAAACAGAATGGGTAATAATAATTATAAAGCCCAAACCTACCGGCTTCCCTTAGTAAGGAAAGAAATGACAGGACTCGCTTCTGCCCTGGGCTAGGAAAGAAATAAAGGGCAAAGATGAAAATAGCCCCCATTGGAAAACGTTTCTTGGGAGCCGTCAAGACCCTCCAGGTCCACAAAGGAGACTTTCAAGCAAAAGCTGCATAAATCTAGCCCCTTGAACTTGACTTACACTCGAGTAAGCACGCTCAAAATAGCATTTTGCCTTGTAGCTGCAAAGGTATGGGGTTTGCTTTCAAGTAACTAGACATACAAAGGAGGCAGGCGGAGTTAAATGCCGCAATCCTGAGGAAAGAGACTAGGACAGAAATACCACAGGCGCCGGTGGCATTTACTTCCCAGTCAACCTGCAGCTAGAATCGAGCTACAGAGATGTTGGCGAGGGGACAGACAAATAAATGGATGGCCGGCAAATACGATGCCTTGTGCCTATTAAATTATTTGTTCCCGTTGCCCAGCCCCGTTTTTGTTTTTGATTTTTCCTCCCGACCATGGAAGCCCTGGGATTCTGAAAATGTGCCAAGCGGCCTTCGCCTTCCAAAAGGAGGCCGACCGAAGCCTTTGGACTAGCCGGCTTTCTGGAACCAAGGCGGGCAAAGAAGCGGGGAAAACTGGATCTCGTTCTCCAGCAGCCTTTCTGAGGGCGAAAACGAGTCCTCTCCACGCCAAATATCAGAGGAATTCTCCTCGGCGACCTTAGCCTTTCAGAATTGCGCCCCAAGTCGTAAACCGGGTTGGGGGGGTCCAAAAGGAACCCGAGAGAAGATTCCGATCCAGCGAAAAGTTGCTACCGAAACAAATACGCACACGCCAAGGACTGAGCACCGTTTAAAACACACGCACACACACACAACTCCTGCCATTACTTGTTAGGGGACCTTAGGCAGCGCCCACTCCGCCTGGATTGTGTCCTCGGCGCAAGCCCGCCTCAAGTCGCCAACCTTTGCCCCCTCCTCAAAGATCAAACCCACCAAGCGTCCACAGTAGCTCCGCATCTACTCAACCCTCCCCTGCCGCCACCGAAAAATCGCTGAAATAAGAAATAAAGGCTTCTTCCCCTTCTCGCTTTTTAAATATTTATTTGTCGGTTTAGCTGCCAGGTCAGCGGTGGCCAAAACAGCAGTGGTTGGGTGTGTGTGTGTGTGTGTGTTTTTTAATCAGCTCCCAGATTTTCAGGCTAGGAAGGAAGCTGTTTCCATTATCTAAATGTACCGATTGTTCGCCAACAGCTGAGGGGCAATTTGATCTCCTCTGTCCAATTCATCAAGGCAGATAAGATAAGAAAGGAGACGCAGCCCACGAGCGCCCAAAGGGTTAATATTTAAAAAGATTAAGGCCTGTAATCCTACCCACACGCTTACCTGAGAGTAAACGGTGCCGAAAAGACTGACTCCTGAGTAGACCTACCTAAGGGGACCCTGAAAACAAAGTCTTTGTGTTGGTTTTGGACACCCCCCCCCCCTTCTTCGAAGCAATTTGCTCTCTCGAGAAACTGAGCAGGCTTTTATTATTTAATTATCATTGTAGGTATCCTCTACCTTTCTCCCGAGGAGTCACCGCTGGTTTGCAAGGGAGAAACCCTCCTTTCCCATCCCTTGTTTATTTTCTAAAAGGCGAAAGGGCCTGCTAGAATGGACACCAAGGGGTGGTGTTGTTATTTTCATTTCCTAACGCACTTTCCCGAAAAATAGAAAATCACCCCTGCAGCCGCGTAGCAGCGAGGCCCCCGAACCTCCCACCTCCTTTCAATTATACACTTAATTAGCTAGAGTTCAGGGGAGGGGCGTTTATTATTTAAAGAAAGAGGGCTGGGTCCATCTGAATCGCAACAAATTGCAGCCGCCCCCTGCTCTACCCTAAATATCACGCAAGCCTCAAACTAGCTCTCACCAGAACAGCCCAAAAAGCCGAGCCAGGAGACACCTCCCCCCGCACCCGGATTCTCAAGGCATTTACTCGGGGTGCCTCGGATCTTCTTCCAAAGCTTTGGGGCCAGAGACCCCGACTGTCAGTGGCTCTCCTCTGATTGCCCTGCAGAGAGGTTCACACATTTCCTTCCAAGCCAGTTTACTGGCCATGGAGCATTTTTTAAAAAGTATTACTATTATTATTACTTCTATTTAGAATCACACCCGGATTAGACAGCTCTAGAACAATTTTGGTTGGAAGTGTGGCTTGTTCTATGTAGGAGACTTACTATTAAATTTTGCTTTTGGGGGTGAGGGGGCGGAAGAGGAAAAGTAAATTTATTTCCACTTGCATACATTTAGAACCCAGAAGTTAACGCTAACTATGGCAAAGCAGCTTTCTGCGAGACCTTCCTCAGCTACCCAGGAAGTAAATGCACACATAGAAAAGAATGTAGCAGAAGGAGGCCTTCAAGGAACCTCTGACTGATCCTCTAAATCCTGAAGATCTTTTCTCGGGAGTATGGAGAGAGTCACTTACTTCCAAACCATAATGTTTGTAGAGATGGAAGCTTATTTTTAAAAAGAGGAAGGGGAAAATATACACTATGCAACCCGCCTCCACCCCATATAGATTAAAAAAACCCCCTAAAAATCAAAGAAAAAGGGGGAGGAACCCATCACTCGATAATTATCACTGTCCGCACCTCCTTATTTCATTTTCCTCGGCCCTCGCTGTTCGCTGTTCTTTTTTCCCCCTTCTAACCACGGGGTCTGCGTCTGCCTCAGTATGTGTTTGAGTGTTCCTTTCTCAATATATTCCAGGCTTCTGACGAGGTGAGCTACAGCTCTCTAAAGATTCTGCCGTAACAAACAGGTTCGCCTGTAAGTACCAGAAGAATCTCGGCTGTTTGGTTTGCAGCGAACTAGCGCGGACGTCCTGCCCCCTTCCCCGGATCTACAGTCGCCATAACTCCTGCACGGTGGGGAGGGGGAAGGGAGATAATGCAAGAAAGAGACACTCCATACCTGATATAGTCTCGCTTACAGTAGGTTTTCCCATCCCTTACAAAGCACGTACAAGTCTCGTCCAAATACTGGTTACATTCCGCGCACTTCAAACACGCCGCGTGCCATTCCAAATCCGGGGAAACTCGCAGAATATACTGGTCATGGATTTGATTGCCGCAACCGACGCACAAGGAAATCAGCCGTTTTTCTGAAAGGCAAAGGAGGAGAAGAGACATAATTGACGAAGCGTTTGCTCTCCTACTGAGATAAACGCATTTTATTAGTCCCCGTCACCCCGCGTCTGAGGCTGGCTCGCTGCTCTTTGGGAAACGCTTTGCTGCCGTGGCGGTTGTGGTCGCGTTGCATTTTCGGGCGGGGGGAGGGAGGAAAAAAGAGAAGGAGAGGAAGGGGGAGGGAGTGGGTGCAAGAGACAGAACGGCGTTTTAGGACAGCAATTGGGGTGAAGACGTGTCTGTGCTCCATCAAAGGCTTCCCTCGTTGGGAGAGAAGGCGGAACGCAAAGTTAAAGTACATTTGCGGGGTCGGAGAACCGTGCACATTTTGCACGCTTTCCAAGCAATCCAAATAACGCTCCGGGGTGATTTGGGGGGAGGGAGGAGTGGGTCTGAAAACACACAAGCGCGGGCAATAGGGTTCATTCTACATATCTAGGGAGCAGAATGCCCCTGTAGTCCCAGCCTGAGAGCTTTGATTTTTCGGCTTCACTCCTTTTCTCAATTTCTCCTTTTGCCAGAGGCTGGATTCAGCCGGCGCGGGAGGCATTCTGGCGGCCCCAGCGGGGGCGGACCACAGCACGGGTCTCGATCCGAATCGACATTGGCTGGGGAGAGAAATCTCCCGTTGTTCGAGAGAAAATTGCACCCTTCGGGTTTAGGGCGCTCCTGGACACCCGAAGGATTAATAGGAACGTCGCAGCTTGCCCAAAGTCACTGCCAAGACTCCGACGGGCCTCTGCACGGGACCCTTTCGCTCCCACCCCCCTCCAGGCAGGACATCAGATCCCTCTGCGTATTGGAGGGAAACACGATTTCCATTGATTTTCAACGGAACTGGCTTTCAGTACGTAAAAACAACGAGACGTCTCCCCACTCCGGTTTTGACGCTCCCTCGTCTATACCCCCGACTTTTTAAGCGGCGGCTTTTCCCTGAAGGAGAATCGACCCCGCTGGGGAGCCTCCAGCATCGTCCCCGAGGCGAACGGATCGCAACACGCACCGGGTCATCCTGTCTTTCTATTTAAGAACTGTTCACTGCTCCCACTTCGACTTAATAATAACGAGGAACAGCTAATAACCGACCGAAGCACTTAATCATCGCTTTCTTACTTTTCGGTGGGTCGCCCATATCTCCCATCTCTATCAAAGGGTATAGTGTCCACAGTGAAATGGTGCACGGTTGCACTGGAACTTTCCCGAGATGAAAAAATAAACCGGCGGCTGCTTTTGCCCCGTGGGGAGAAGATGCTGTCAAGGGATGGCGGTGATGCCGGTCGGTCTGCCGCCGCGCTGAGAATCAGCCTCCAGGAGGCGGGATGACCGGGCGCCCTTCCTCCCTTGGCGAGAACGGCTCCGCTCGAAGGAAACCACCCCGGGCTGCCGGTCCAGGCGAGCGAGAGAGCGGCGGAGGCGCTGCCCAGTGCGTGGAACTCCGCGCGCCTCGACCACGAGCCTCTTCCTTATCTCTTACTCAAACTTCTCTGCTCCAACTCAGCTCGCTCGTCATTGGCCGACGTAGGCCGCGGGGACGTCAAACCTGCTCCCTTCTGATTGGCCGGGGGGAACACAGAAGCAGCTGTTCTGATTATCATATTTCAGGGGCTGGAGATCTGGCGAGGCGGCGGCTGGAGAAATCCGCGACAGACGCAGAGAAATACGGGGGGAGGATGGAACCAGAGGCAACTTTTCCGCTCCCCATTTGATTTCTTTTCCCCCACTCTTAATCCGTTTTTACTCCCCCCCCTCCTTTGCATCAACACGCCTCCCCTTTCATTGGCTTAAAGCAAGCAGCTGCCTTTTACCATCCTCTCTCCCCTACAGACGCGCAGGATTTTTTGAGAAAAAGAAAGAAACAAGACGTTTATTCTCTGAACGCCTCCCCTCCCTCAACTATGCAGGCTGGGGGAAAAAAATATGGATCAGGTGACCGATCAAATATTGTGGGAGGGAAAAAGGGGAGGGGGAGGAGGAGGAGCGGCGGATTAAAAGCCATGCAATCTGATTTATGCCACGAAAAGGGGGCAATAAAGGCTTAGCCGCTTAGATTTTCGCCCGCTATGTTCTTTTTTTGGGGGGGGTGTCATTTTTTGTTTTAATTATTATTTAAGGCGAAGGATGAAAGCGTTAGCGAGACTCCGGTTGACAGGACATTGACATCGGCTTGCTGCTGCCCGTAAAGATCCTTTTTCCCTCATTTCTCCAGAGCAACTCCGCGGTTTCCTCATCCCATATTGGCGACACAGACGCCAAGGGAAAGGTGGAAGCATCGCAGCTACTCGCAGGTGTTTAGCACTTGAGAGCGGTCCATTTCCCGCCGCCACCACCACCCCGGCCCCATCCTACCCATTTTTCCGCAGGTGAAAATTCTCCCTGGAATTTCAATGGGACTGACTCCCCAGTAAGCGGATAGACGAAGGCAAAAGCTAAATTGAAAGGTTTCCTCCAGAGGCTACACTATTTTGAAGGAAAAGTAGGAGGAAAATCTTATTACAACTACTGCTATTATGTACTGCCTGTACATTTTTACAGGAAGCTGGGAGATAGGTAGTTTCCCCAATCAACACGACTGATGCTCCTAGTACCCAATCTATTGCTTTCGCTATCACCAGGAGCCTGGAAGTACTTTGCCACTTCAGTTCTCCGACGATTAGGAAGTGTGAAAGTCTTGCAAGACCGTGTCTGTACCCGTGATTTATAGTGACTTCTAGACAACCTCCGTGCATGCGTGTGGAAACACCACTGGCGTCCTACAGTGAGACTCGAATCTAATCTTAATCACTGTATTAAGACTAAGGCCACCTGATCCTAAACACCCATAGAAATTACTGGTGGTAATATGCCGTTTCATGGCAAATGAAATACAGCGACGGGCAACCATCCTTTTGATGATATAAAGCATGTCTCCGTTACTGTTATATTGACACGATTATGGTTGGATGATGTAAAACATTATAAATCATTACTGGGAAGGTAGACATTGATTTCTCCGGACACGGCATAGAATTATTCTAATAGTGAGCAAAAAGTGAGGTTCAGTTGATAATCCCTTGGTAGAAAGTTTATTAGGTCATATTCTAACTTTCGACTCCTTCGCGCACATGCACACACACACACACACCATTT